AAAAGAAAGATGGAAGGGAAGGAAGGAAGGAAAAGAAAGGAAAAGAAAAGAAAGATGGAAGGGAAGGAAGGAAAAGAAAGAAAGAGGAAAGGCGCAAAGAAGAGGACAGAGGAGGAGAGGAAGGGAGGAGGAGGAGGAGGAGAAGGGGGGAAGGCCAGGGGGAGGAACGGGAGGAGGGGAAGAGGGGAGACGGGGCGGCGGGCAGCCTCCCTCGGCCCGCCCTTCCGCAGTCCCCGCCTGGCGGCCGCCCCTGCCGCCGGGAGGGAGCCGCCAGCAGCGCCGCCGCGCCGCGCCTCGCCTGGCCGGAGGAGGAGGAGGAAGCAGGGCAGCAGGCGGGCGAGGGAGACGGAGCCGCCGCCGCCGCCGCCGAGGAGGAGGGTGAGGGGCTTGCAGGCAGGCGGGCGGGCGAGTCGGGGGGTCTTGGCCGCTGGCGGGAGGGTCGGAGGGGGCGCCTTTGTCGGGTCCTCGGGCGGGTGTGGGGGGGGGCGAGAGCGGGGCCTTTGGGAGGCGCCCCCTCCCCAATGCCTGGGCCCCGCAACCCCCCTCCCCACTTCGGGGGCTCCTTCCCTCCCTCTCCCCGCTTTGTTTCTGAGGGGATGGGAGACCCCTGGATCACCCCGGCGGCTTCCCCGCCCCGCTTGAAAGGGGGCTGGAAACGGTCTTTCCTTTTGGGGTGCAGGACCCCCTTTTGCACCCCCCACCCCCACCCTTGGAGGGGAGCTGCTGGGCCTCAGAATATTGGGGGGGGGGGGCGCAGGCAGCCAGGACAATGAGGGGAGACAAGGCCTGCATTGGATTGGATTTGGGGGGGGGGTGTCTGAGGAAGCCCAGGGTTGGCTGCCAATTGTTCATTTGTGGTTCATTTGGGGAGGGGGGGGAGACGCCCGTTTCCTGAAGGGAATTGGGGTGAAAAAGCTGCAGGCAGAGAATGTATTGTTCTCCCCCCCCCCCCAGGACGGGGTGCGTGTGAAAGAGGAGCTCTGCTTTTTAGGAGGGGGCTTCATTTTGGGGTGTCTGGGAGGGTGTGGAGAAGATTTGCCCCCCCTTTTTCCCCGGGGGGGGGGGAGACTTCCCCACCTGGCCTGTGAAAAGAGGGTGAGGGGAGCTTTTATGGCTGGGAGGATTTGGATTCGGTCGCTTTTGGGGGGGGGCTGGGGGGGTGGCCCGAGTTCTGCTTCCCCCCCCCTCCTCAATCTTTTCAGTCGGGAAATAACATTAAAATGGGGAGGGGGGGGTCTGGTGCTCTCTTTTGAGATCAACCGGTTGTCTGAAAGGGGGTCACTCCTAGATTTCTCTGGCTTTTTTTTTGAGGCCCGAACTCCAGGGTTTCTCAACTTTGGCAAGTTGAAGCCGGGTGGACTTCAACTCCCAGAATTCCCACGGCTGACTGGGGATTCTGGGAGTTGAAGTCCACTCCTCTGGGAAGCTGAGGCCTGCCAGGGCCCCCAGGTGCAATTAGGGCCCCCCAGAAGGCAAATGGAAGGAGGCATTGCGGGCAGAGAGGCCGGAGGGGTGCAAACCAGGGAGGGGCAGGCCGAGTCCCAAGAGTGCCCTTCCTCCTCAAGGGGGTCTCATGGGGGGGGCCGGGGGGGGGAACTAGGGCAAAATAAAATAAAAAACACCTTTCTTTAGTTTACCCCCCTTGATCTGTGGGAAGATTGTGGTGCAAGTCATCGGATCTGCTGCCATTTTGGATGACATCTGTGCTGGAAGGAAAAGAAAAGAAAGGGAAGGGAAGAGAAGGAAAGAGGAGAAAGGAAAAATAAGGGAGAGGGAGGGAAGGAAGGAAGGAAGGAAGAAGAGGGAAGAAAGGAAGAAAAAATAAGACGGAGGGAGGGAAGGAGTGGAAGAAAGGGAAGGCAGAGAGAAGGAAGGAAAAAGTAAGGGAGGAAAGAAAGGAACAGGAGGAGGAAGGAAATAAAGGGGAGGAAGGAAGGAGGAAGGAAGGAATAAGAGAGAAGAAAGGAAGAAAACATAAGGGAGGGAAGGAAAGAAGGAGAAACCCCAGAGAAGAGCCGCCCCCCACTGCTGCTGCCCCAGGTCCTTCTGCCCCCCCCCCCCCCCCCCTTTGGCCTGGCCAGCTCCTTGGGGTCAGCCAGAGCGCTATCTGAAGGGGGGGGTGCAGGAGATGCCGCAATCAACTGGTGTGCGAGTTCTCCCATGACATCAGTGTGTGTGTGTGTGTTTGTGTGTGTGGAAGCCTCATTGGCCAAAGGCGGCAGGCGACAGGCTGACTTCCTTCCTGCCACAAAGGTTTAAAAGGTTTATTTGGGACGTCCTTGCCCAGGACGGCCAGAATTTGGAGGATGGGGAGCCCAGGTAGAGGGTACCAAATGGTGTGCCTCGATTTGCCGGTTGCTTAAATGCAAAAATGTGCTTTTGTGTGTATGTGTGTTTTGTGCAGGGGAGCTTTTCTTCTGACTTCACTTTATTCTGTCACTCTTGGGATACCATTTTCACTGATGTTTTGCAACACCAGATGAAATCATTCTGTTGGTGTTCAGTAGAAGCCGGTTCGTTGTTTATTTGTTTTTGTTTTTTCTACAGCTCCTTTGGACTTTGTACAAGTTAGGAAAAGATAGCTTTCCTTCTCTCTCTTTTTTTTTTTTTGCAAAGTAGATTTTTGTGTCTTCTAAACCATAAGGTGCATTTTGTGCAGAAGGTAAATATGACCAAAAGCTATAGGATAGCCTCATTAATGATACTTAGGCTCGTGAGATAAGAATCCAAAATCAGTGAAATTTCAAGGAATACAAGCTGAGAAATGGATTTTGCAATAAATAAAAACAGGCAAAGCAAATTGCTGTGCTGTATTATATCATCTTTTAACCTCATAGATCTAGAGAGAGATGCTACGAAAAGAACATGTTTGTTTCCTGTTGCACTTTGAAATGGAGGTACCTCTGTATTGTGCCAGAATTTTTTTAAAAATGGGTTTATCTGGCCGTTATAGTTTGGGGGCGGCCAATATCTTTAGCTAGTCAAGAGAGAGAAGGCATGAGAAATTTAATTTTCCCAAGGGAAGTTAAGTAAGAAACAGTCTAAACAAAATTAAGTGTTTGGAAAGCTGCAATTAACCTTGTAGTTGAACTGTTTTAAGGTTTTGCATTTAACCTCGACCGTTTTGGATGACAATTACCAGAAATATTCTCATTTTTTTCCCCCAGTCTACTAAGGAAACGTGTTACGCTTTCACGCTTGCGCTATTCCTGTCTTAGTGTCTTCATAAAACCGAACAGTTTTCTAAATAAGTGGAGTTGTTTTGCACCAATGAAGTAGAATCGTAGCTTTAAAAGCTGCTAGGTTGGATTCTGTGGGGTGAAAGGTAGATTTGAGCTCCACGCCTATCCTCATTAGCATCGATGAAATCACAATACAGGTTTTGTAACTCGCGGTGTTACCATTATGGAACGCAACCCAGAGGTGATGGCAGCAGTGGTATTTCTGCCCCGTGATTCATGGCTTTATTGCGTTGCCTCTTTTGCAGCAAAACATTATCCGCCCAGGCAGCGTTGTCGTGATTCCCTAATGCAGGTAGCCCTCGACTTACGACTGCGAGGGGGCCGGAATTGCTACTGAAGGCAGTTGTTAAGTGAGTTTCACCTGATTTTGCCACGGTGCTTAAGTGAAACCCTGCGATTGCTAACGGAATTATAAATATATGCCGGTTGCTAAATGTCTAGTTTTTGACTGTCAGAATGCTGCGATGGTTGAAAGTCTGAGGACTGGGCATAACTTTTTTCAGTGTTGTTGTTGTAAAGAAGCAATTTAGGGTGTATCCACTATTGTGTCTCCTAACCTGCTTCTTCCTTGCTTGGGACTGGCAGAAGAAAATCTCTCTCTCTCTCTCTCTCTCTCTCTCTCTCTTATTTTCCTTTCCTTGCCTGCTTGTCAAACTTCTCACCGGATTTTCTTCCTGGAAACCTGCTTGAAATGCGGGTGAAAAAAAAAAATAAAACCCACAGAGGTTCATCTCCTCCTTCCATCAGTTCTGGAAATGGGCAAAGGAAAGGCAGGCGGTTCACCTTGGGCGTTCCTGACCTTTGGAATTGGGTTCGGTTTAACTGGTTTTGGTTTTGTTTTTTTAAACGGGCTGCGCCTGGACGGAGCTTTTTGGCATTCCGACACATTGCCTGCTCCTAGGAAGCTGGCATTGGTCTGGGTTTGCTGCAGCCTATTTTTTTTTTTCCACCGGTTGGAAAACAGAAAGAAAAGAGCTGTGAAAGTTCCATTCTTGGCTTGCCTCTGAGATAGCAAACATTTCGGGAGCCTGACTTATTCTTGGTCACGAGCCTCATCCGTTTTAGAGCAGAGCTGAAGGAATCCTACAAGGCAGGTAGATGAATTTCTGGCTCATGACATTATTATTTTTTCTTCTTCTTCTTCTTCTTCTTCTTCTTCTTCTTCTTCTTCTTCTTCCTCCTCCTCCTCCTCCTCCTCCTCCTCCTCTTCCTCTTCCTCTTCCTCCTTCGTCACTTCCTGTATTTCCAGAAATACCGGAAGTGACAAAACGGGCCCTTTTTTCGGCCTCCAAAGGCTGCAGAGGCTTCCCTCGAGCCTCTGGGAGGCTGAAAAGGGCCTCAAAGTGCCCAAAAATCAGCTGGGAGATACACAGTGTAGGTAAGGGGACGGCGGGGGAAAATCATGCCTGCATGCTCAGGAGGCATGGGGGAGCTGCGCGCATTGCCTTCTGGGTGCTGGCATGCAAGCACACTCAAGCGCGTGCACAGTTTTTGGCACAGGAGCCCAAAAAGATTAGCCGCCACTGATCTAGACAAATGGATTCAAAGTGTTAGCAGCTCACACCTTAGTTCCCTAGACTTCAATCTGTGATTCTGTTTTCTCTGTTCATTAAAAGTGGGATTTCCCCCCCCACCCCAATTTGTCAGTTACTCTATTGAAACAGCGTCTGCGTTCACAGCGCAAAATTAGCACATTGTTTTATGATTACATGAGAAGCCCGTTCTCGAACCCTGATTTGTTGTCTGGTATCTCTGGATGCTTTGAAGCCTGTTTATTTGAAATATTCCAGCGGATGGTCTCCCAGAGTCCCGTCAAACTCCTGCTTGTCTATTTTTAAAAGGCTCCAGGAGAACAAGAGTTGTGTAAAAACAAGCGGTATTTTTCTATTAATAGCAAGCTTGGTGAGATATAGCCTCAGAGAAGTCAAGTCAGTCCAGATGCTTTGGGTGAGTTTATTTTTATGCTCAGAGGTGCATAAATATTTGCTTTTTCTTCCCCCCTCAAAAGAAAGTAACAACTAGCTAAAGTCTTAAGCTTTGCTAGAAAAAGGACTCTTGCCATTAACCTGTTGCTGTAGCAACAGTTAGAATCCATTTTGGGGCTGATTTGCTAAAGCCAAAAATTAAAATGGTGAATTAAAGGTGGGGGTCTCGAAACTTCACCATTTTAAGACTTGTGGACTTCAACTCCCAGAATTCCCCAGCCCATTGAAGTCCACTAGTCTTAAAGGGGCCATATTTGGAGACCCCTGATTTAAAGAATATAAATGGGGCCTCATGGAAGAACAGCTTCTTAATCTCGATTAATCAACCAATTGTTTAGCGGTCAAGCAAAACGGACCCACCTCTTCCGATCCAGTTCTTTGTTTCCTTTCCCGTCGTCAATAGTGTCTTTTGCCTTCCTTCAAATATATACTTCCCTTGTGTGAAGGTCTGTCTCTAAATCCCCTATAGAGATGGGCTTCCGGAGAAAATTCCTAGTTAGCTTATGAATAGTGGTCTCAGCACGTCAGGTTTTGGGTTATGTCATGTCATTTGTGGCTATGCAGCGATGCTAAGCTAGGCCTTTGCTTGACTCCTCCTTCCAGCCTAGCGGGCAGTTTCCCAACACAAGACTTCTGAGGGTCTCCACTTAAAGCTAGGGTTAATCCCTCCCCTCTTTCCTTGCCTTACACCTCAATCCCTGAGACCACCCTTTCTACTTTGCTTCGAGGCATGTCTCCAAACTCAACTCTTGGACGGAGTTGGCGCTGTCTACTAAAGCCAAGCTTAGGCTACTTGTAGTTTGATTGATATACTTCCCTCGTTACACTCTGTTTACGCTTCCTGCTCTCGCTTTGCCATTCCTGGCAACAATAGAGGAACTTGAGTCTGTTTCTGTTCTCCCTTGATGAGATGGACGACAAGCACCCATCGAGAACCTTCCGTTCTTCCGAGGGACGCGTTTAACAAAGCCAGTAGTGTTGGGTGGCAGTGCCCGTCTTTCTGTGGTGGCATTCCAAGGGACGTGGTGGGCGTTCCTGAATGCTTGGTGGATGATGTCAGAGCCAGTGACCTCATAATACAAAAGGGAGGAAGGGGGAGAGAATCAGGCTGAACTCTGCATTCTGGTGTTATCAATTAAAGAGCGCCAGCCGAGGGAATTCTAGGTCGCGCCCATCAAAGCGCCTCCTGAACCATTCCAGAATTCAGTTCCCTGGAGGTCTTAGATGTTAACGTTGCCCCACATATCAGTGCTGGAAGAACTTCTTCATGGTTGAGGCAGGTAATGTTCAGAGCTGTCCAATCTTTACTTTGGCTTGGAGTGAAGGTTCTTGGACATCTGCAAGTTCTTGACTTACAACAGTTCGTTTAGTGACCGTTACATTACAGCGGCACTGAATAAAGTGACTTAGGACCAGTGTTCACAACTGTTGTCGCCTCCCCAGAGTCACATGATTGAAATTCAGACATTGGGCTGCTGACTCGTCTTTATGACGGTCGCAGGGGGGGTCACATGAGCAAAACCAATGGGGAAAGCCAGGTTCACAGTCTGACTTAATTAAACAGTTGCAGCGGTTCACTTAACAACTTGTGTCAAGAGAGGTCATAAAATGGAACGAACTCGCTTGTTTCACTGAGCGACAAAAAAAATTGAGCTCAATTGTGGTTATAAGTTGAGGACTATTTTGGTTGACCCACAGTTTCCGCAAAAATGTAATCTGGGGCTCAGAATCACTTTTCAGTTGGATGAAGAGGTCAGAGGTCAACCTCGCCCCCCAAAGATGCTCCTTGCAAGGAAGCCCGGAACTTTCAGATTCGAGATTACCCAGATGTGCCAGTTTATAATAAAACAGAACTTTTGAGAAGATGCCTGTCTTGGACTTATTTTTTGGGGTGGAGGTTTTCTGGAACGCTGACACTGGCATTGTCTTAACACAGAAGTTTCCAAACTTGACAACTTTGAAGACTTGTGGACTTCAACTCCCAGAATTGAGGGATTCTGGGAGTTGAAGTCCACAAATCTTAAAGTTGCCAAGTTTCTACCTCAACGCAAGGGCGTGCAGGACCTTGGGCTCTTCCTGCCAGCCACAGGCTGCCTCCCCCTAACCTAAGTCAAGGTTGAAGAACAGGGCTGACCAAGCAAAGGTTTTCTTTCCATCTGCTCAAACCTTCTCCTCTTCCTTTTTGGAACGAGCACCGCTTGTAAGTAAGCCATTTTCATTGCTCTTTGTTCCAGTGCGTCACCCGCCCATTTTTTAGCTCCTTCCCAGGCCCTGTCTGTGTTTCAAATACCTCTTGCAAATAATCCAGTTACTTGAAGCTCCTTGATCTGGTGATGTTATTGTTGCTGCTGCTGTGCTCTCTGAGTTGAAAATAATCCCTCCCTTTCTCGCTGCGAAGAGTTCTTGCCAGAACTCTTCTTCTTTTCAAGAAAGGAAAGAAATAAAAACCCAACACATCTGATCTGAGCTTTCTCTTTGAAGAAGCCTGCACGGCGGGCCTCCTCCGATCGATCCAAATTATTCTGTATTTTTTCCCCCCTCCCTTCTTAGCAACCAAAGAGGAAGAAGAAAAACCTCGTTTTATCTTCAAGGATCCAGATTGGGGCACCGCACAGGGATTGTACATTATGCTGCTAAGTCATCTCGTGATCTTCAGCAAGGAATTCTAGCCGAGGTGGGTGCGAAGTTGTGAGTTGCCAAGGAATCACAACGCTCTCTCTGCTCGGCCATCCTGAGCGGTTGGTTTTTTTTGTACATGCATAACCTTATGCCAGGAGGCTAAAATTGGATTTTTCTGGTGCTGGTGTGGAGAAGGGAAGGGCAGATAGTTATTGGCTTCCTTGTTCTCTTGCCTGCTTTCTTGAGGATTTTATTTAACTTTTTGGAACCATATTTTCAAATGTAACATGTAACTTAATATAATATATATATATATTAATATCACTCTGCTAAGCAATTCATTCCCTCAACACTGTCAAACTATTTTACTGAGACTGTATTACTATTATTCTTCTGATCCTTCCTATTAGCCACCTCCTCCTACTTATGACTATAACCTAGTTGCATGTATCTTTAGGACTTATATTGTTTTATTTAGTTCCCTAGTGTGAGTTGATTGCTTATTGAGTAACCTATGACTATCACTAAGTGTTGTATCTTATGATACTTGATTCTTTGCTTAAGAGGTTGGGGATGATGGACAGAATTTCTCTGCAAGTCAGGAGCAACGGAGGTTAATGTTTCTCCTCTCGGTGCCCTTGATTGGCAGGTTGAACCCAGAGAGCGATCCATATGTTTGGGAAAAGAAAGTGATTGCGTCCCGACCGGCCGACCATGAGCATGTTGAAACCAAGCGGGCTGAAAGCCCCCAGCAAGATCAGCAAACCGGGAAGCGTGCTGGCCAAAACAGCCTCACCTGCGGCTACAGGTGAGGCCGTAAGATGATTCGTCCTGGGGAATGATAGAAGCCAGAGACGGAGACCTTCTCCGTGCCATCTCGGGTTTCTGTCGCAGGCTTCGTGGTTCAAATAGCTCTGGAAAAGGAGGGAGGGAGGACTGCAGCGGATAGAACGGGGGAGAGCAAAAAGAAGGAAGTTTCGTTCACGGGTGATGCTGTGGGTCCTCGATTTATGGCTATAACTGAGCCCCGGGTTTTTGCCGCTGAGCGAGACATTTGTTCAGTGAGCTTCGCCCCATTTTACAACCTTGCTTGCGGTTGTTAAGTGAATCACTGCAGCTGTCACATCGGTAATGCAGTGGTTTCGTGAACCTGACTTCTGTGTTGATTTTACTTGCCAGAAGGTCACAAATATAACATAAGTTTGAGCCACGACAACCGTCACAAATGTGAGTTGGTTGCCAAGTGTCTGAATTTTGATCAGGTGACCATGGGATGCTGCAGCGGTCATAAGTGTGAAAGACAATCCTCAGTCACATTGACCGGTCACTAAATGAACTGTCGTAAGTTGAGGACTGCCTGCGCTCCACTTTCTTCCTCCTCTTTGTGTGGGACATGTCAAGGGGGCTTCCCTCCCAACTCTTCAAGAAAAGTTTTGTACCGGGAGTCCTCAAGTTACAACGATAACCAGGGGTCAGGATTCCAGCACTTAACCCCATTTAAATCATGAGTCTCGAGCCAAACTTCCAAGACTTCAAAAGGATTTATTGGGAGTTAACATGGCCGGCACTGCCTGGTTGCAGCCAACTCTGAGACACATAATTCATTGTCACCCTCGACCCTGGTTCCCCCCCCCCATCCCCCTGGACGTATCCTAATTCATATTCTCCAACGGGACACCTCCATAGCCCAGAGTCATCAATCATGCTCTCCAGTTAGAATTTTGCCCGGCAGAAACTTCAGTCACCTAGTTACTATCTTTGAAAACATTTATGGAATGCACTTTCGGTTTGCAAGCTGTTGCACTGCTCCCCTTTTCTCCCTTTCTGTTGGCCTCTCTAAAAAGACCCTAGAAATATTTTATGCATTGACCCCAGGGGCCGGCCGATTATAGTTGTAAATCCAGTCAATCACACAACCGACTCAGTTTTACAACCCGTTTTCCAGCGATCATGAAAGGAAGGCGCGGTTCGCTCCGGGCCAGTATGGTCGTAAGCGGAGGACCGCTCTCATTAACGTGGCTATCTATCTGTGACGTTCTCTTCCTCTTCCTCCTCCCTCCTGTTTCAGCCTCTCCGGAAAAGACCCCGGCCATCGAAAAGCCTCCCACCACAGAAGCTCCGGATGAGTTTGTGGACGACTTCCGAATCGGGGAGCGTATTTGGGTCAACGGAAATAAACCCGGCTTCATCCAGTTCTTGGGAGAGACCCAGTTTGCTCCGGGTCAGTGGGCAGGGATTGTGTTGGACGAGGCCATTGGAAAGAACGACGGCTCCGTGGCCGGAGTCAGATACTTCCAGTGTGAGCCCTTGAGGGGGATCTTCACCAGGCCGTCGAAGCTCGCCCGGAAGGCCGTTGGCGAGGATGAATCCAACGGGACCCAGGTGTCTCACGCCTCTCGGGCCACGTCGCCCACCTCCACCTCGGCGGCCAGCCTCGTGTCTTCTCCTTCAGCAGCAGCCCACCTGCCACACACCGGCATACCTCAGAAGGTGTCTCCTCTGGCCACCAAGGAGACACCCGTTTCTCACGCAAGCAACCTCTCTAAAACCCCCAGCGAATCCATTTCGAACCTTTCGGAAGCCGGCTCCTTGAAAAAAGGCGAAAGAGAACTCAAAATGGGAGACAGAGTGTTGGTAAGTTGTCGAGTTGCTGCTTTGGAGTTGCGTTGGTGTGTTGACGGTTTGGCTTAATGCGACGAGCTTCAACCCCACCCCCCACCCCCCCAACAAGATCCTCTTAATTCCTCTGACATCTCCAGCTCCCTAGGGGATCTCCGCTCTCTTCCTTGGGATCTGCTTAGGAAGAGGTCCTTGGAGATCTAGCAGGTCAACAGAGAAGCTTTTTCGATGCTGTGCGGTTGTGGTCTCTTCATCCCTGAGAGATCTTTATTTACCGCAGTGAATATGATTAGCTTGTTGGGTTAGTATTTTGGGAACTGGGAATATTTTGTATGGAAAAGGAGCTTGTTGAATCCTCCATTTGGAGAGGCCAGGAACAACACGAGCATCAATCTAGTATTTATGGAGGTTTCACATCTCAGCTTGGGAAAGAAGGTGGTGGTTGAAAATGGGCTGGAGTTTGTGTTTTTAAAGCCTGTACAGAAGGAAGAATGAAAGGTGTTGCATCTACAACGGTATCTGTCAACCTTAACACATTTTAAGACTTGTGGACTTCAACTCCCAGAATTCTGCGAGTTTGAAGTCCACACAACTTAGAATGATGGGAATTGAAGTCCACACATCTTCCCCCATATTGGCTGGGGAATTCTGGGAGTTGGTCCATACATCTTAAAGATGCTAAATTGAAGAATACTGTTCCAGATGCCTTTAAACCATCTAATCTAATCAGGAAGTGGGTTTTTTTTTGTAACTGCACTGTAAACAAAAATAAGGAAAGCCCCTATTTCTCTCAGCTCAGTTCTTTAAGGAAAGAACGTTCTGTTTTTATTTAATTTACCAGCAGATCTTGTGTCATACCTTTTTAGCCACAATCATGTTGTAAACCTTTATTTATTTTTCCTTCTACTTGCCATCCTATTCCCAGTCTGGGGGGGAAATATATATATATATATATATATAAATGTCTGGTGATCTAGGTCAGCTGTTTTGGCTCGTTTCGGCTTTGCATCACCCCTTTCTGAGTTACGTGGTGTCATGCTTTACTAAAAAAAGATTTTGGCAAAATCTCTCGCTGTTCTTTCATTTTTTTAGCGCTTTTTCCCCCGGATGCAAGTGAAAATCCCCAGGGCAGCTGTTTTCAACATGTGGTCAGGATGCCGTTTGGGTGGAGTGTTACGATTCCTCCACTTTACCTTGTTTCTGCAGTTGGTGAAAAGAACATTTTTAATCCACCCGTCTAGATTTTTTTACTTTTTATTTTTAAAAGCAGATTAAGTTTCTCTAAACCTCCACCTTGAGGAATGACTTCATTTGTTGGTTGAGCTTTGCCGCTTCCAGGTAGGGTGAGAATTGCTGGGCCTGCAAATCTCGTGCGCCAACAGGTTGCTGCCTTTTGGGCACGGTAGGTTTTAAAAAAGGGCAGTCGAAGTGAGATCATTCTTTTGGCAAGATTAATGAAGATAAAATCGTCCTGCACGCAAGATATTATCAAAGCATTAAAGGGTTTGTTTTCTCTTTGCTGAACCAGGACAAACCCTTAATCAGCCTCCAGCAGTTGTGAATGCTCCAACACTGGAAGTTTTTAAAAAGATGTTGGATAACCATTTGTCTGAAGTGGTGTAGGGTTTCCTGCCTAAGCAGGGGGTTGGACTAGAAGACCTCCAAGGTCCCTTCCAACTCTTGTTATTCTATTCTATTCTATTTTGAAGTAAACTGCATAGAGTAGCGTTTCTCCAGCTTGGCAGCTTGAGGGTGAATCCATCTCTGCTTGTGGCTGTATACTGGAGGCAAAGAAAGCTCCAAACTACAAAATAAACTGAAATAATAAAATAAGTTCCACGCTTTTGGTTAATGTCCCTGTTTCCTTGCTTGGTCTCCTGCCGAGGTTAAACTATCCGAACCATTCTTGGCCAACGTAGCCGGTCGTGTCACTGGCCAAAGCAAACAAATTTCCAAAATAACTCATTTTATGTGGAAGAGGAAATCCTGAAGAGCTAAGTTATTATTTTAGGTTTGGTCTTTATTAGAATTGGCTAAAGGTGGCAGTCTTTATTTTTGGCGAGGTTTCAGCCTGGGGAGCAGAAAAACGTCATAGTTGGAGCGCCAATTTTAGTTTTAGTTCTAATTTAGCTGGAGAATATATTTTTTTTAAAGACAGTGCAAAATTCTTTTCAACTTTCTTTTTTTACCAACTTTCTTTTTAACTTTCCTTTCAAATTTCTTTCTCTCTCTCTCTCTCTCTCTCTCTCTCTCTCTCTTTCTTTCTTTCTTTCTTTCTTTCCAGGTGGGGGGAACGAAAGCCGGCGTGGTACGTTTTTTGGGGGAGACGGATTTCGCCAAGGGGGAATGGTGTGGCGTTGAATTGGATGAACCCCTGGGCAAGAACGATGGCGCCGTTGCTGGAACAAGGTAAGATCCTGTCCATCTGAGAATTGGGATAGCCGGCTTTCAGATCAGCCCTGACTGCTGGCTGGGGAATTCCGGGAGTGGAAGTCCACAAAACTACTATAAACCACGGAGTCTTGACTAAATATCCCGCAAATGGACAAAGATCTTGCGTAGACAAACCAACATAACCCCAGTGTCAACTAAAAAAATACTCCTTTGGTCTTTTTAGTTGCCAGCAGAAAGGGAGTGGGGGAAAGCAGTGCATTCCTTACATACTTCAGATAATTGCTAGGCAGCCGAAGCTTCTGGCGCACAAAATTATTACTGGAGAGCCTGATTGATGCATCTTGGCTATGAATGTGTCTCATTGGAGAATATACATCCAGGGTTGGGGGGGAAGACCAGGGTTATGGGTGAAATGAATGATGTGTCAGAGTTGGCTGCAACCGACGTGTCAACTCCTAATCAATCAATCTTTTTTTACTCTGAAAGATGTGGCTAGAGACTTATAATTTGAATGGGGGTGCATGTTGGACTCCTGACAGCTTTAGACCGAGGCATTGATGCTTCACATTGGAAGGAGAGATGCCTTAGCGAATTATAAGCCTATTTGAAGAAATGGTAGTGTTATTTACGGATTGTCGTCCGCCGTGTTTGATTTTTCTGTGCAGTCTGTTTTCACGGCTGGGTCTCACCTTCTCCTCGCCTCAGGTATTTCCAGTGCCAGTCCAAATACGGCCTATTTGCTCCGGTGCACAAAGTGACCAAGATTGGCTTCCCGTCCACCACTCCGGCCAAAGCCAAGCCCGCCATCCGGAAAGTCCTCCCCACGCCCACCAGCCTAAAGCGCAGCCCCAGTGCCTCGTCTCTCAGCTCTCTGAGCTCGGTGGCCTCTTCTGTAAGCAGCAAGCCAAGCCGTGCGGGACTAGTAAGTTTCTTTTCGTATTGCGTGCTTGACCACCCTAGAGCAGAAGCAGGCCCCTTTTGTGGGTCTCTCTCTGACACACGCACACACACAAACACACGTGCGTTTGCATTGCTCGTTTTGGCTGTTTCTGCACTGCTCGTTTGCCTTCTAATGGGGCCGATCTTTCAAAGCATGCATGAAAAAAAACTTGGCAAGCCCTGTGGAATAGAAGCATTTGTGTCTAAGCTGTTATCCTAACTTTTAATCCAAACTAACCACATTTATTTAAAAAATAAAATAAGAGAGAGGTTATGTTTTGGTTTGTTAAGCTTACAATCTGCCACATGCATAGGTTAGTAATATTTCTACATGCAAACACACAGAGACATAGGAGACTCTGTGGTGCAGTGGTTAGAGTGCAGTACTGCCAGCTACTTGTGCAGCCAGCTGCCTACAATTTGGCAGTTCAAATCCCACCAGGGTCAAGGTTGACTCAGCCTTCCATCCTCCCAAGGTAGGTGAAATGAGGACCCAAATTGTTGGGGGCAAGAGGCTGACTCTGTAAACCTCTTAGAGAGGTCTGTAAAAGCAGTATAAAGCGGTATATAAGTCTTAAGTGCTATTGCTATACCTGCAATAATATGCCTGCAATAAATATATCCATACAGATATGTGCACGCCTGCAGAGCTATTCTCAGAGAGCGTTGTACAAAAAAAGTGGAAAATCTATATGGAGAATGAATCTATATGGAGAAAACATATATGGAGAATGAATAAAGGTGCATGGGGTTGCATTTTGCAAACTGTACCGTGGGTTTGCATCTCTCTGCCAATTGAAGACAAAAACACAAATATACAGTATCTACGCTTAAGTGTGCATATATGAGGGAGAGATGGAAGTGACGGTGGCTGGGTGGTTTTAATTTTGTATACCCAGATGCTGACTTTGAGCACTAGTGGTTAAATGGTTAAATTCACCTGACCAATGTAAAGGTAAAGTCCTCGACTTACGATGACAACTGAACCCCGAATTCCTGTTGCTAAATGGATTTTGCTCCGTTTTACACATTTCCTTGCCTAAAATTGTTAGGTGAATCCCTGTTAAAGTTAGGAACACGATTGTTAAGCAAATCTGACTTCCCCGTGAACTTCGCTTATCAGAAGGTCACAAAGGGAGACCCCGTGACCCTGCTGCCGTCATAAATACGAGTCAGCTGCCAAGTGCCCAAATTTTGATCACGTGACCACAAGGGATGCTGCCACAAGTGTGAGAAACGTCCATAAGTCACTTATTTCGGTGCCATTGCAACTTTGGTCACTAAATGGAACTGTTGTAAGTCGAGGGCTGGCCTGTATTGTCTAAATGGAAGGATTGTCTCACCCCCCCAAAAAGAGCCTCTTTCTTTACTCTTGAGTTGTGAACCCTTAAACCTAATCTGGTTGCCTTGCAAACTGTATATTTTATTAACTTCACACTCACCGTATATTAATACTTAGCCTTAAACATAAAGGGCTGAATCTTGAATCACCTGCAGGAAAATTTGCAGCTGTTCCCCCAACGAGTGAGGGCTTAAAATTGGGAATTTGCAAACTCCCCCCCGCCCCCACCTACCCCCAGTAGCTTCTTCTGCCAAATTTGGCAAGGCCCCTTGGTTGTTCTTTCTTTTTTTTTGCTGCATGTGATCCCAGGTTCTGGCTCGGATAAGGGAGCAAATTCTCCGGTTTAACCGAATGACGGTTTTTATGTTTAGCGCGCGCCAGGGAACGCTTAGCGGCTTAACCAGCTAATCTGCTGTAGGCTCCTTCTGCTTAGGTTGAGGCCAGCTACCTTTTGTTTCTCTTTGAACACTTCTGTTTCCTATTCTCCTGAATGCTGCATTAAGAGTCTTGCTATGCAGGTATGTTCACTTCCTTTCTTGACTACTAGGAGGGCGGAAGTACGTAGCGTGGGAGCAAAGTTAAGTGTTTTCCTAAAATGGCGGCTAGCTCAGCGTCTCGCGACTTTTTAAGAGGAGCAGGGACTTCCACTCCCAGGATTCCCCAGCCATGGGGAATTCTGGGAGTGGAAGTCTGTGCACCTCTTAAAAGTGGCCCAGGTTGGGAGACACACAGCTGATGGTGTGCAGAGCTGAAGAAGCTTCTTGGATGAGAAGTGAAATGTCTTCAAAAGAAAAAAACAAGAAAGTCATGGAAAAGCACCTTTTGGGACAGCGGATGGCCAATCTTCCTTGGCCACTGCTTACCTTAATGTGGAATAAACAGCATAATTCTCCGCTTTGGACAATAATAGGGGATTGTTCCACAGCTTATGACCCAAAGGTCACACCATGGACCCAGAATTGGGGTTTCCAGTCGTTTTTATTATTTATATCAGTCCTCTTTAGGGAGCGAGTCTAAAAAGAGCCTTTAATTCTGAATTTCCTGGTGTTCAAACAACACTGGTTCGCTAAGGGTCTTTTAAAAAAAAAACCACCCCAGGGTCTCAATCTATTCTTCACAACAGACCTCCTTTAAATATCTTTTGTGGCCAGAGAACTCAAGATTTAAATCATAACATTTTTTTCAAGCCTTCACAGACCCCCTTAGGCAAACCTTGCAGAACCCCAGGGGTCTGCGAACCACACAGGCTGAGAACCCCCGCCCTATCCCGGTTAGGATTACCCCAATTGGGATGCAGCTTGGAAGTCTCTGCCTCGCCCTAGTTTTTCAGCCCCAAGTTTTGCTCTCATCTGATCACGGATCAGAACTGAATTCTGAGAGAAGGCATCCTGCAGAGATATCCCATCGCACTCTTCCGGCCGAAAAGAAAAATCAGTCTGTTTGCACTATTGTACATCCACCCACCGAGATCCTCCTGTTGAAGAGCCTCCTGGCTCTTACTTTTCCCTTTATTTGAGGGATCGCTGGTGCTCTCTTTCCTTGAAGACGTTTCATGACCCAGGTAGGTAACATCATCGGTGCTAGGACGGTAGCACTGAAGATGTGACCTAGTTGGGTGAAACATGAAACATCCGCAAGAGAACCTCCAAGCTCAGACAGCACCAAGGACCCTTCATTTCAATTCTAAGCTACAAATATTCTTCTTTATTTCTCTGCCAAATATTTGGCCCTAATTCAGCAGATCCGCTGGCCAACACCTGCAAAGCTGCACCGATTCAAATCCAAACTCCAGACGCCGGTGGTGTTCGCAACACCGGTGTGTGTTTTTGGACCTTCCTCAGCACCTTCTGGCCTGTTCAAAATCCTCCTCTCGTTCTTGTAGTTGACAGAGACGTCCTCTCGGTATGCTCGGAAGATCTCGGGCACCACCGCCCTGCAAGAGGCTCTGAAGGAGAAGCAGCAGCACATAGAACAGCTCCTGGCCGAGCGGGATTTGGAGCGAGCGGAAGTGGCCAAGGCCACTAGCCACGTTGGGGAGATAGAGCAGCAGCTTGCCTTGGCACGGGATGGGCACGATCAGGTGAGCCGAGGGGTTTAGCCTGTTTGGAGCCACTCTGGCAAGTCCAAACCGGCAACTTCATTGCCTTCTGCCCATAGTACAAAAATCTTTCCCTGGGGAACGACCAGATAAATGATAGTAGAACTTAAAGAGGGTCAGGCTTATGCCCCTTGTAGCTGCGTAAGGACTCAAGACTAGTTCCCTGCTTGACCCCTCCTTCCTGCCTAGCTGGGAATTTCCCAACCTCAGCTGGCAGATGTGGAAGATCAGATCTCTCTTCTGTACAAAAGATTCCTCTCTTTTCATGACCCTGTAACCCCGCTTAATTTGGGGTAGAGTCAGGGTGACTGGATGGAGCTGAGCATTTACTGGCAGATGCCCTTCCTGGTGCCACTTTTCTGTACAAAAGAATAAAGAAGTAAAAAGGTTCCATACTACCAAGACTGTTTTACCCAGAGAGATTCGATCATTTTAGCAACAGTTGGTTTATTTCGGAAGTCCGTTTGCTAAATTCATTGCTCGTTCTTTCTTTCCACTCTATGAGCTCTTTAAAAAAAGTTGCCAGATTTTAGTTAAAATTTCTGATGAAAAGGGAACGTCATATTTGGGGAAAACGAAGGCTAGACTTTGGGAGGACCAAATAGCTCGGGTTGGATTGGGGCTCAGTGCGTCTTCTGCGTAGCTCGTTCACCGTAGCTTCATTTAAGTTAAAAAGAGGCGTTTTTCTCACCCGCTTTTCTGTTACTCAGCGAATATTGGAAATGGAGGCCAAGATGGACCAACTGCGAGCCTTGGTGGAAGCGGCTGATAGAGAAAAAGTAGAATTGCTGAACCAGTTGGAGGAAGAGAAAAGGTAAATCAAAGGTGCAGGCAAGCAGGAAAAATTGGGAAAATTATGTACAGCTAGCTCTCCAGCCAACGTGTTCTTCTTCGCTGGGATTATAATCCAGGAATGGCTTGAAGGGGGAAGGGAATTCTGGGAAAAATCAGCAGTGATCCATGCATTCAATCCTCTGTCTGTAAGAGGTTACTCCAGACCGTGGGGGGATCAAAAAATCCTGTAGCTGTTTTGTTTTTAATCTTCTACATGGATATTTTTAACACAATCCAGGTAGAATTACAACCACAAAGGGAGCAGAGAGACAGTATCTTATCCATAAACATCTGGCTTGAATTTTACAAGATCTCGAATCTTTTCTAAAAAGAAAATCAGAATTATTCCGCTATGATGCTTGATTCTTAATTGTCCCCAGAATATGAGAAATAGGCTGGATAACCTCCCTCCTTATCTTCCCTGTCTTGCTTTTTTAAAACTGTTCACAGGAAGGTTGAAGATCTTCAGTTCCGGGTAGAAGAAGAGTCTATTACCAAAGGTGATTTGGAGGTAAACATGACTCCGCTTCTCTTAAACCGGCTACACAGAAAAGAAAGCGCTTATACCGTAGCAAGCTACCAAGAGAGTAAAGAAAAGAGGTGGATTCTTATCACGTCTGAAAGGACCCCGGATGTGGCTTAACTTTTGCTAGCTGAGTGTTCTCGCATTTGACTAGATTTTTCTTTCTAATTCTTTTGTCTCCGCTGTGAGTAAGTAACGTTTTTCATTCTCATGTTTCGCTTCCGTGTTGCTCAATAACCTTTCTGGATGCCTTTCCCCAAATCCCTAATAAAAAAATAAAACACTTGTTAAAACCACCCCACTGGGAATTGGCGCCAAAAGCTTTAAAACTCGCAGTGGGTCTGATAGGCCTGAAGATCAGTGCTAAAAATGAAGGCTGAGAACCCCAGCACAACGCAGCACAGCTAACATTGGTTTTGAATATCATCCTGTCCTTCTTTGGGAAGGGTTGTAAGCAGTCAGATGGCTACCCGGACGTCTGAACTGTGTGTTCCCAGCCTTCTTCCGCACAACACTTTTGCAAGTCGATCTTCAGCTGCGAAAACCACAGGCCCTGCTGGTTTTGCACGCTAAATCCACGCCGTTCGATCGCTAAATTCACATCCTCTTCAGCATGCTTTTGTGTCATGTTGCTGCCTGATTTCCAAAAACAAACCTCTTTTTAAGATGTTCAGTAAATGCTTTTTCCCCCCCCCTAATCTCGTGTATCATGCGAAAGTTGGAAACTGACATGCTTGAGCTTCCGATAATCCAGACTGAAAGCAGAAGGCTTGAATTTAATATTTCATATTAGGATCATCTATTTTTATGTTCTCCACCCCTCCATTTTATCTGGACTTTTCAAGGAATGCTCATTTTCAGCCCGTGGTTCTTTGTCTCTCTCTCTGTGTGTGTGTGTGTGTGTATTGTTATTCCTGATACTATGAGTTTGAGATACAGTACATACAGGTAACCCTTGTTTAGCGAGTGTCCTGTTTAGCGACTGTTTTGCAGTTAGGACGGTGATGAAAAAGCAACTTGGCAAGACATCCTCGCGGGTCTGCAAAGCGAAGGAATGCTGAAGTCAGATCATAAGCGCAATCATGGTCTCATTTAGCGACTGCTTGGCTTAACAACCGCGTTGCCCGTCGCTGAAGGAGGGCAACCTGTGCTCAAATCTTCTGTATTCCTAAGATGGCCGGTTCCCGAACGTCAGAATTGCTCAATCTCTCCCCTTAACCACAAAGAACCCGCCATGTTCCCCTTGTGGAACCCGTGTCCATTAGACCATTGGGAAGTTTCAAAAATTAAGTCCACGAGAAGATCCAAGGCCCTTCCTACAAATTCCAAACTTGCACATTCTGAGTCATTTCGCACAATGAACTTGACTGGAGTTCACACCGCTTGCCCAGCCCATCACACATACGCACTGCGGCCACAAGGACAGAAATATTGATGGCAGGTGCTGTATCGCTGTCCTTTTGTGGAACACATGCACTGCAACCAACCTACCAAGCCGGACCAATAATAATAATAATAATAATAATAATAATTTGGTTGAGAGCTGCTAGCACTTGTAAATTTCCCCCGTCTCCCCTCGCAGGGTGGTTTGCTTCCTTTTTTTAAAACTTGTATTTTGAAACCGTCACGTTGACTATTCCATTGAACTCATGTTGTCTTAATTTTTGCTGATAGCCAAAGAGAGACATATCTGAAGACCCTGAAAAAAATGTAAGAGGACCTCTGAATGTGTGGAGACACCCCCCGCTTTCCTTCTCCCGGTCTTAACCCCCGAATCTTTCCCAATAAAGCGTTTGTCGATGGTGCTTTTTAACCACTAACAACGCAGATTGTTCTGGGGGCATTCGCTCCCTTCTGTGCCTGCATGAAATTGAAGAACCTTTGTGGGTTTTTAAAAATGTAGGGCCTTGGTCCGAAGCAGAAGATGAGGAGGGAAGGAGGATTCAGAAAAGCTGTGCTTTTATATAAACCTTCAAACTTGGCACGGCGTCCTTCATGCTTCAACCTTGCAAGCATCTTGTAAGACACTTCGCTGCAGAGCTTCAAAGCCTTGAACTGGTTGATTAACCAAGATCCAGGCCAAGTTGGGTGATTTCCTAGAGTGGGTCCCATTCCATAGATTAATAAGAGGAATCAGGATGGAAAAACTGTTTATTTTTCTTCATTTTCCCCCCATAGCTTTGCTCTCCAGTGGTTTTGTGAGACACCCTCCCTTTTAGATTACATATCCCCTGTACTGTGTGTTGCACGAGTGTGTAGCGTGACTCTTAGGAAGGACTGAAGGACGTTTTGGACCCCCATCCCTTTTCCTATACATAAAAAAGTCAGCCTCGTTTCCAAGAAGATCTCTGGAGGATCCTGTCTGCTTTTTTTCCCTCTCTAGCGGGCGCTTCCGTCTTGCCGTGTGGCCTTGTGCGTTCTGATTGCACAGCAAAATATTGTGATGATGATGATTATTATTATTTTGCTCTTCTTAAATCAAGGTAGTGGTGTAGCTGAATGAAATCTGCATGAGACGTACTCCCTTTTTTCCTTTTCTTTTTGTGAACGCTTTCTTTCTGCACCCAGATCTTTATACCCCGTCCCAATTGAAATCCTTTGCGTTTGAATATTGATTGAATTGAGCGTTTGCAAAGAAGATCACAGTCCACTTCTCTGACCCTGCCCTCCCATTTTAATCCAGTTGCCAACTCTTGGGAGAAAACAAGGGTCTTGGGACATCTAAAAAAAAAAAACCCTGCTAGGTTTGTAGAAGACTCAAGGCCACAAACACCTGTACAGGTTCTCCATTGATTGGAGCAAGATCTGGTCTAGTAGAATCTCCAGTTCTCCTGGATTACAGCCTCTGTAATTCCTAATCCACAGGCCATGCTGGCTGGAGACCATCAAGTTATCTATTTCTTCAGGGTTCGTTAGCAAAAAATAGGATATTGACCATTTTATAGGTTGGTCTCCCCTTGTTCAATCTGTCTAGTGTGCTTCTGGAGTAGAAGGATGAAGGGCCAATTAAATTTGGGATGTCGCCTGTGTTGCTCCCTTTATCTTCCCAATTTGTCCCAACAACCAGATCTTCTAGTGAAACACCTTATGCTCAACAGTGGCCCCGAATGGAGAAGGGTGTATTTCAAGGATCATCGTAATGGCCTGTAGAAGAAGGGGATTCCTTGTTGACTTTGAAGACCCTTAGGAGTTTGGACTTGTAACCCAAAGGATACCCTTGATTTACGTGGTGGAGTCAGAGAAGTAACCTCTTCTGAAGTCCTTAAGGACTCTGCTTCCTACACGTCAATGATATTTGTGTTTAGAGCTCTTGGATTGCCTGACGTCCTTTTGCAAGTAGGGACCATGTCTCGGCTGTTGACGCTGAGGAAGCTTTGCCCCAATTTGTTGGCCTTCCTTTCAATCATCCCTCCTGTGAAATCTTAAAACGTTGCCAAGAAGCTTCTAAGTCAAACTTTTGAGGGGAATCTACTCCGTTTAGTTGAGCTCTTTCCATCCAAAGAGGCGTGTGAAGAAGGTTGGGCTGAGGGAACCTGCCCCTGGTTCGTGTTGGGGGCCCATCCAATCCAAAGGTTTCATCCCGCTCTTCCCCAAGAGCGCTAATCCTGGCAGGGTCTTCTCTCAGTCTCCTTACCCAGAAGGCCCTCTTCGCCATCCGCTAAAAGTGGTCCTCCTCCAACATAATCGCCAAGTTTCTTCCTGCCCGCCCCCCTCCCCTGGGAAAACAAGTCCTCTTCTAGGGAGAACCCACCAGGAGCATAAACCGTGACTGACAGAGCATTAACTTTTCCTAATTTGTGCTGATAAACGTCACGCCAATCAGGCTGCATGGTTTTGTCGCTTTTTGTTTGTGTGTTGTGCTCCTTCCGTCCATCCATCCTTTGACTCTCGGCATGACAGCCCCGAGTTCCATCTCCCGAGTCCGTCTTTCACCTGGTTCATTGTTTCCTTTTTTTTTCCCTTTTGGTCACCCTCTCCCTTCTTCCACCCACCCTTCCATCTTCTGCTGTTCCTCACTGGTAGAAGACAGCCGGTGGCGCCTCCTGCATGTCGCTCCTCTTTCTTCTCATGCTGGCATGTGATGGTGGCACTGTTGTGTTCTCTTCCTTTCCCTTTTTACTAACAGACGCAGACCAAACTGGAACATGCCCGCCTTAAGGAGCTTGAGCAGAGTCTTCTCTTTGAAAAGACCAAAGCTGGCAAACTCCAGAGGGAGTTAGAAGACACTAGGGTAATGGATTTCACTATGTTTCCATCAAGGTGGCCAAGGGGTGCGTGCGTGTCGGTGTGAAAGCGATTTGAGAGTTTTCCGTGGGGAAGGTTTATGACGTTGGAGCTAGTTGTATTTTGGAAAACCCACCGCTTGAGGGGTCCATCAGAGGTCACCAAGGACCCCGCCGTTCAACCCCAAGCTACAAATATTCCCTTCTGATGCGACCACTTGATTTCTCCTTCCCGTGTCTCTAAACATTCAGTCCTGCTAAACTTAAAATCCCTCTTGGTGGACTAGCTTTCAGGCTGTTGTGAAGTCCCAGTAAAATAACTTCACAGAAGGCAGCAAGGAGTCATAAATGTAAAACAAGCCTAAGAGATGCCAGAACCTCAAGAGTAAGTTAACCAACCTTCAGGAGCTGATGGACGTTCAGTTATCCTTCATCTATACGGTGAAGACCATCTTAGCTTCCTGATTGAACTTGAAGGTCTGGAAGTCTTCCAAAAGGGACTGGACAACCATTTTTCTGAAGCAGGGGATTGGAGTAGAAGACCTCCAAGTCCCTTCCAACTCTGATTATTCCATGTTCTAAGTCGCGTGGAGAACGCTTTGGTGGGTAATTGTTCACGGAAGTGGTTTGGAGATGGCTTGACGTTTTATGGCTCTCAATTTTCTGCAGTGGTGGAACTAACATTTTTTAAGAGTTTCACTCTTTAAGGAACCCTTTAAGGAGTTCTACAAACTTGTAATCATGAGCAAGCTGCAGCTGAAAGCTTTTGATCTGAACTGTCCGTTTTTCTTATCACTAATTTCTGATGATTGACCTTTCTCTTGGAATCAAGATTTACTTCTGAGCCCACAAGAGGATGTTCGCTTTAAACAAAAAGCCAACACATTTTTTTGTGAGTTGAAAGTTGTTATTTTATAGTATTATGTGGGATTCCACTAACGGTGTCATAAAAATAGGGAAAGGTAGATTACCAGCGTGCTCTGCCCCTTTGAAGGACAGAAGACGTCATGCTAGTACTGTAGTATTTAGAATGCCTCTCTACCCCTTTGAATGCATTCTTTTATAATATTCTCTGCTCCTTTTTTTAATACTGTTTTTTCGTAGGTCGCCACTGTATCTGAAAAATCTCGAATCATGGAACTGGAACGAGATCTAGTATTGCGGGAGAAGGAAGTCACCGAACTCCGGTCAAGATTGGAGTCCGGTAAAGTGACCAGCAACGTGGACACATCTCTTGAGCTGCTGCAGGAAATCAGCACCTTGCAAGAGAAGATGGCGTCGGTGAACAAGGAACATCAGGAGGAGATGAAGTCCCTGCGGGACAGACTTGAGGTCAGTGAGGAGTCCTTCCAGAAGGAAATCAAGACCTTGTTGTCCTCCAACGAAAAGATGGCGAAAGAGAACAACGCCTTGAAAGCCAAGCTGGACACGGCCCACAAAGAGAATTTAGAGGTGGTTGAATTGTGGAAATCTAAGCTGGAATCTGCCATAGACTCTCATCAACAAGCGATGGAAGACCTGAAGACCTCTTTCAGCAAAGGAGCCGGCCTTCAGGCAGCGGAGTTTGCAGAGCTGAAGGTGGAAGTCGAGAAGATGAGAGAGCACCATCAGAGCGAAGCGTCTAACTTGAAGATGAAGCAGGAGAGCGAGAGGTTGCGCCTGGTGAACGAGATCGAAGCCCTGAAGAACCAGCTGCTGGAGGTCACGGAGGAGAAGGAGAGAAGCTTGGAGGTGCTGAAGACCCAGCTGGAAAGCGCTGAAGATCAGCACCTGGTGGAAATGGAGGACACTCTGAACAAGCTGCACGAATCCGAAACGAAGGTAAAGGAGTTAGAAGGCCTCCAGGAGAAATGTGTGGAGCAAACCAAGATCATTGATAGCTTCAAAGCCAAGATCAAAGCTGCTGAAGCAAAGTTCGTGAACCTGGATAGCCTTCAGGTGGCCCTTTCTGAAGGTAAACTGGAGTTGGAGAAACTCAGTGAGGAACACGAAGCCGCCCAAAAAAAGATACAGAGTTTAGAAAATGACAGAAATAATGAAAGTAGCCAGGTGTGTACCAACATCCATTCTGTGTCATTTTGCTTCAATGTTTGTCTCTTCCCTCCCTCATTTCATTGATTTGTGTTGAGTTGAGGGATTCTATTGTTTGCACATTTGAGAACTTATTTCAAGCTTTCTGAATGAATTAATAGACACCCCGCCCCCCAAAATAAATGTTCTATCCACAGAGGGACAACAGGAAATATTTAAAACAGCATTATCCTCCCATAATGGAATTTGCTACAAGTTGTGGAGTTGTCCATCAATCTGTTGGGGTGTTAATTGGAATTTAGATAAATTTGTAGAATATAAAATGAGTCTCTGCTTAGCTTCCAAACGGCTTTAATTATGCATGGGAAGATGTGAGATTTTGGTTGAAATGGGTCTTTAGTTTTAATTTCTATGGAAGGCTGTTTAGGGTGACATCTTGATTGTGGGATAATATTGAGCAAGAGTCTCCCAACTTGGCAACTTTAAAGACTTGTGGACTTCAACTCCCAGAGTTCTCCAGTCAGCGTAGAGTTGAAGTCCACAAGTCTTTAAAGTTGCCAAGTTGGGAGATTCTGGATATTGACCATAGTTCCAAATCTGAAATTCCAACTAGAAAGGTGGGTCTGGATTTTCCCCCCGATACCAAAGGGCTATCAAGCAGGGTAAGTGTCAAGCTTTCATATTTGTCTTCTTCACTTTGAGGAGAAGACAGTTAGATGCCTCTCCTTCAAAAGCAAGTTATGGGTTTCAGAACTTAGAAACAGAGCCTAGAATAAAAAAAATTCCAGATCTCTCCAACGGCTCCTCTCTTCCTAAAGTTCTCCAGATGCCATCAGCGTCGTGTCTGAATGCCATCCCAGTGTATTAAGCCCTTCCCTTCATTTTCTGTTCATCAAAGTTTGTTTTGGCCCTATGTTTTTATTTGTGCTTCTCAAGAGATGCTTTGGTTTGTTTTTCTGCTTCTTTTGAGTAACCTTTACATTTTTACATCCATCCCCCTGGTCCACCTGGCTAGGCTGCTAGTCTAGTCAAAGAACTGCAAGTGAGGGAGAAAAAGCTACTTGATCTTGAGCAACACTTGGGCACCGTCAACCAACTTAAAGATTCTTTGGAAAAAGAGTTGGAGGACTTGGTGAGTAACCGCCCGGGGCCCGGGGCCCAATCCACTCCAGAGCTTTGCTTCAGGGCTTTGAGAGGGCAGTTGGCAGCTTCTCAGCTATCCCACTTCAGAGACATTGAGTTCTTTTAAGGTAAGATGGTCCCCCCCAAAATAAAAGAGCTACTTTTACAGTGGTGTGATCAGAGTATCCTAGGACCGTGCATTGTCACGTTGCATGAGTAGTTGTTGGAAGTCTAGGAAAGGATACAGCCATCCAACCTTTGAACAGGAGAGTTTGCAATGTGCAGTGTCAGACAAACAGAATTCAAGAGGGACTCGACTTAGATTGCTGATGAGAATGTTAGGATTCCAGGCTAACTGCTCTCTTGACTCCACCTCCACTGGGGTTCGATGACGGTCGTAAGTTGAGGATTACCTGTACAGACAGTGTTTTCCCCCCCCCTCCAGTCCCCTTCAGAAAACACACCTTGGAGATTTGCAGTTGTCAAATAAAGTTCCTAGGCTTGCTTTAATCCTTAAAAGACTAGCCAAATGTTGCAAAGCCTCAAAATAACATTTTTTGATCCTGGCTTAAAAGTTGCTTCGGGCTGTTTGCATCTCAAAAGTACGTAGCGTTGCGACTCGCTGTTCAGTGTGGTTATGTTGCTCTTGTTCAGCCAAATGTACTTCTCACTCTCCTTTTCCAGAAAGAAAAATTCACGAAGGGCGCCGACGAGGCCAAAATTGTACAAAAATCTATGCAAGGTACGTTTCTCACAAATGCAACCTTGTGGCAGGTAGAAGAAAGGATGAAATAATCTTCTCCGAATAATAAGCAGCTTCTCTCTTTAAGAAACTGGGCCGAACTCTGACCGAACTCTTTGCATTTTCTTCTCTTTTTAGAAACTCTTGAAAAACTAAACCAAAAAGAAAAGCAGTTTACACAGCTGTCAAGTGAAGTCGATCAGCTGAGATCCCATTTAACAGGCAAGAAAAAGCCACAGATTTTTTTTTCACTACAGTCGAATTCAAAATTAACGCATGTTTGCTCACGTTTGCAGCCATTCCTATGATTGCAAAACCATTCCAACTTCAAAGCCAACTTTCATACTTTTCCCCAGTTTCGAACAAAACGTCCAAAGCTAGTTTCCAAGTAAAAGTAATGCGTGACTTATGACCACAATTGAATCCAAAATTTCTGCTGCTAAGCAAGGCAGCCGTTAAGTGAGTTTTGCTCCATTTTACAAACAACGGCCAGAGCAGAACGTAAAATTACCAAACTGGTAGTAATGCCGGTTGAATCCCACCCCTGTTTCCACCCCTGTTATCCAACGATTGATAAAACAAGTGTCAAATTCGAAAAAATTCCGTGTCTTCTTTTATCTTCAGCGTTAGTCTATCCATTTCTGCACACTTTAATATTTTTTTTAACTACATCTTTTTCTGCAGGTGTTTCCTCCTTTTTCCAGTGTTGTGCAAATACAATTCTTGCTGCTGTCAAAATGTGCCATTTTAAATATACATTCCCTTTATCCTATTTTTCTGGTACTACGCCTAACGAAAATAGCTCTTATAATCTATATGTTGCCTTAACATTTTTTCTAAACCCCCCCATCAATTCTTGTGGGAAAGAAAGATGTCTTTGTGAAACCCCTTTTCTCATCTCCTTGCTTTTAGCCATGGAGAAGTCGCTGAAAGAACGAGAAATGCGAGAGCAGCAGCTGGTGGAGGCTAAAGCCAAGCTGGAAAACGAGGTGGCGGAAATCATGAAATCTTCGGGCGACAGCTCTTCCCAGCTGACCAAAATGAACGACGCCCTACGACTCAAAGAGAAGTAAATCCACTCCCCTCTAAAGGAACTTCTCCAGGCCCCTTGCCCCTAGGACAAATAACTTGGGGAGGTCTTCCATATTTTTTAAAGCTATATTTTTTGTTCCAGAAAAAATAATGATTTGTCAATTCTGCTTCTTTTATGGTCTCCAGCTCTTGAATAATACTTTAAGCATCGGTTTCTCAACCTTGGCTGCTCTAAGATGTGTGGACTTCAACTCCCAGAATTCCCCAGCCAGCAATTCTGGAAGTGGAAGTCCATACATGTTGGAATTCTGGGAGTTGAAGTCCACACGTCTTCCCCCATATTGGCTGGAGAATTCTGGGAGTTGAAGTCCGCACATCTTCCCCCATATTGGCTGGAGAATTCTGGGAGTTGAAGTCTGCACATCTTCCCCCATATTGGCTGGAGAATTCTGGGAGTTGAAGTCCGCACATCTTCCCCCATATTGGCTGGAGATGGGAATTGAAGTCCACAAATTTTAGAATTATGGGAGTTGAAGTCCACACGTCTTCCCCCATATTGGCTGGAGATGGGAATTGAAGTCCACAAATTTTAGAATTATGGGAGTTGAAGTCCAGACATGGGGAGATTGACCTCTGCACATCTTCTCCATGTTGGTTTAGATGAAAGAGTTGAGCCAAAATCTCACCCATGAAATGCACATCTTGGACGAGGTCCACCATCATCTAAGCTCCCTCCTTCTCCAACCCGCCCTCTGGGATTGTCACCCTGACCCTCGTTGTGCTGTGTCAATTTTAGGCAAGTGGAAGAGCTGCAAGGCCAGCTCACCAAGGCCAGCACAGAAACGTCTCAGCTGCGGGAAAATTTGGAGCAGGCGGCCCGTCAGGCTGAAAAGAAGCAGGAAGAGATGCTTGCACAACATCAGGAGGAGCAGCAGAAAATGAGGAACAAATTAGGCAGCCTGGTAAGGACAGGGGAAGGGGGGACGGGACAGAAGGCTGGTGGGTTCTTGGGGTGGAGGGGGGCAGATTTCCCCAAAGAGTCCAAATTCAGGCAATCGAGAAATCCTTATAAGTTTAACACAGTCTTGCATACAGAGGCGAAGCTGGGTGGAAGTGGTTCTCCACTTACATCCACAGTAGAGAGCTTGTAAGCCATGATGGTTGTAAAACAAATCATGCGTACGCAAAAATATATCACTGAACCGGTAGTTATACCGGTTGGATCCCACCCCTGGTCTAAGTGCTATTGTTAGGTGGAGAGGGAGGGAGGGAAGGAGGAAGGAAGGAAGGAAGGAAGGAAGATGAGAGAAGGAAGATGAGAGAAGGAAGGAAGGAAGGAAGGAAGGAAGGAAGGAAGGAAGGAAGGGAGGGCCGTGGTGGCACAGTGGTTGGAATGCAGCATTGCAGGCTAACTCACTGCTCACTGTCAGCAGTTCAATCCTGCCCGGCTGAAGGTTGACTCAGCCTTCCGCCCTTCCGAGGTCGGTCCAATGAGGACCCAGATTGTTGGTGGCAGCAGGCTGACTCTGCAAACCGCTTAGAGAGGCCTGGAAAGCACCGTGAAGCGGCATATAAGTCTTAAGTGCTACTGCTCTTCCTCTGCCGGCGGTTTTTTTGCAGGAGAAGGAAATAGCGGCTCACCAAGAGGAGCATAAACGCGTGCAAGCCGCCAGTGAGAAAACGCGCTTGGAAACGGCTGCCCGGCATGGAGAAGCCCTCCAGGAACTCCAGAGGGAGCTTCAGAAGAAGGAGCAGCTCCTCGCGGAGACCCAGAAGGCCAACCGCGAGTTAGAGAAACAGTCCAAGGAACTGAAGAAGGAAGCCGAACACGCCAAGGTGCGTAGACGCCTCCGTCTTGGACGTGCGCAGGGCGGGTTTGTCCTGTTGAGGAAGGCCCAGGTTGAGAGGCCCTTGATGCTCTCCGAGCTTGGTGGCTTTCATGCAGACGTTTCTTTACCATTGCACTGAGGGAGTTACCTAGTTGGGTCACGAAACGTCTGCAAGAACCACCCCGCCAAGCTCGGAGAGCACCAAAGACCCCCCAGGGTCTTCCTTTTCTACCCCTTCTTCTCCACTCTGCAGACTTCTTTCCCTTCTCGCACTCACGACGTTACCTAGTTGGGTCATGAAACGTCTGCAAGAAAAACACCAAGCTCAGAGAGAGAGAGAGAGAGAGAGAATAATGGAGTGGGAAGGGGCATTGGAGATCTTCTAGTCCACCCCCCTGCACAAGCAGGAAGCCCTGTAACATTCAGACAGACGGGTTGTCTGATCTCTTTTTCAAAAGCCTCCAGCGATGGAGCGGTGAATTCAGTGTGGTCGTCCTCAGAACCACAAACAGATCTGCTTGTCTGCTAGGCCGAGGTTTTCCAATCCTGACCCCTTTAAGATCGGTGGACTTCAATTCCCAGAATTCCCCAGCCAGCTTAGGTCTTCAAGGGGCCAAGGTTGAGAAGCTCCGCTCTAGGCCTCCAAATCCTTCCTGGTTTCGCTCTTCTTGTTTGCTAACATTTTATAGGCTTTCTTGGGATGCTTAAAAAACTCCTTATTCTTCCCCTGTGCCAGGAACGAGGTTAGCTTTAACGGTGTTCCTCACTGCCTAACTTCCTACTTAAGTCAGTCCTAATTGTCTTTTTATTTTGCCTCTCCTTGAAAATTATTCCTGCCATTCATCTCCCATTATTATCATCGCTGTGCTTTAAGCTTTGTGTTTGGTCATTCCTATACCTGGATACGAGGTGTATATATTGACACACGGATTAGGGATGAGGTACATATCACTGATATTCATTGGCAAAGTGAGGCAAAAGCTACAAAAAATAAGTATAAATCCTCACATTCCAAAGGATGAACTTTATCTACCCTGGCTAAGAGAAAATGTCACCTTGGAGAAGTCTTTTGCTCTGAACTCCTCAAGTATGAACTCACAGTTGTTACATCGGGTGTGAGATCTCACAGCTTGCTTGCTGGCAGTTCATGAGTCGGCGAGCGGATGACGGGATAATTCAGGCATTGAATCCCACTTCTTAATAGTTAATAATTTGATCGTTGCCTGCATAAAAAGGTGAGAGATACTGGGTACCTTGGTCTACATACCAAACAAATGACCCATTGGGATCCCCACATCAAAACAATTTACCTTATGTGCGGCCAGAATCGGAAAATAACATTTAACACAGCACGGTATAAAGCAAAATGGTTCGCTTGAGATTGGCATAGGTGGGACTGATTGGGGTAGGTTGCAGGGGTGACACCGAAATATAGTTTTATCCTATTTTATCAATATTGCATTTTATCCCAGTTACATTTTGGAATGTATGTTATTCCAATTTCATTTTAAATTGCTTTGATCAAATCTTAGTAATAATTTCTTTCTGGAATTCTGCACTTCAATATGGCCCAAGGACTAGTCAATAAATCAATAAATAAAATAAATTAATACATGATATAAAAGTCCCAAAGGCGCAACTGGACTGTTTTTATTTGGAAGACGTTTTGCTTCTCATCCAAGAAGCTTCTTCAGCTCCAAAGAAGAACTGAACTGAGAACTGAAGAAGCTTCTCGGATGAGAAGTGAAACGTCTTCCAAGAAAAAACAGGAAGTCCAGGTGCCTCTTGAAAAAAACAACTTTGGGACAACTGTGACCTGGATGATTGAGAATCTCCATAGACACCTGATGTAACGCCTTACTATTTCATGCAAGCGTTCCTTGCAATACGTCTAAAATGACTTGGATGGTCTTTAAGCAGGGCTTTCTGGGTGTCAATATATAAACTCGCTTAGCCTTATTTTGGGCATGCTATTTATTAATCCACGCTCGTCTGCTTGACCTCATTTTTCTTGTGTTTTGTCTCCCTTTCTCCCTGTGCTTTGTTCATTTAGTCCTTAACCTCTATGTTAGCAACAGCCAGAAAAGAGATTGAACTTATGTCAGACGAGATGAGGGCCTTGATAGCCGAGAAGGAAGTCTTGGCGCAGGAAGGGAATGCTTTAAAGTTAGAGAAAGGTTCCTTGTTATCCAAGCTGGTAGACTTGGAGTCCAAGATTGGGCTGTTAAAACAAGATCAGGAGAAACTGTGGACCGTGAACGAGGAGCTTCATCTGGAGAACAAAAGGACAGTCAAGGAGAAACAAGACGCGGAGAGCAGAACCCAGCAAGAGAAGGAGAAGAACGATGAGCTGATCTCCGAAAAGGGACGGTTGCTCCTGGAGATCGAGGCCGCCCAAGAAGACCTTCTCAAGATCACAAAAGAGAACGACGCTCTACGCACGTCGAAGGCGGCTCTCCTCGGTCAGGTGGAGGAGCTCCGAGCCCGCAGCAAGAGCTTGGCCCAGGAATGCCAGAAGCATGTCAGCCAACGGGAAGAGCTGGAGGATTGTCAGAGGAAGCTCTCCGAGGAAAACGCCGCTCTTCTGAAGGACAAGGACGACGTCATCCAGAAGCTGAAGAGCTCCTACGAAGACATGGCCAGGGACCAGAAGGAGCTGCTCCAGGAAGTCACCACCTTGGCTGCCGAGAGGGACTCGCTCTTGGGCAAACATCTGGACCTGGAAAGCCAACACGTCGCCTTGAAGAGGGAACGGGATATTCTCCTGCAGAGCAGCCAGGACCTGCAGTCTGACAAGGAGACGCTCTTGATCCATCAGGAGGAGATACGCAAGAGCTTGGAGCAGGCTCTGTTGGAGAAGCAGGAGCTCCAGCTGAAAAGCGAAGGCCTGCAGTCCAAACTGGAATTATCCGATAAAGAGCTTAAACGGGTCACCAAAGACAAGAACCAACTGGAGGCCTCCCACGCTAGCCTTTCCAAACTTCTGGAGGAGATTAAAGCCAGCAGGGCATCGACGGACACTGAGCTGATTCAGCTCCTGCAAGAGAAGGAGACCTTGGTTTGCTCCGAGAGCAGACTTGCAGCCGAAAGGGAAGAACTTTGGAACGAAAACAAGAACCTGTCGGAAAAGCTGGCCCAGACCTCCGAAGAAGCGGCCCTCGTGGAGAAAACCTTGAACGATAAGCTGAGCCAGTTGAGCGCGGAGAAGGAGGTGGCCTCTCAGAGGTCTCTGAAGTTCAAGAAGCAGAACGAGAGCCTGCTCAAGGAGAAGGCCTCTTTGGAAGCCAAGTGCGCTGAGCTCCTGGCGGAGAAGCAGTCGGCCGCCAAAGCCCTGTGCGAGTTGAAGAAGAAGCACGAGTTGGACATCTCTGCCAAAAGAATGTTGGTCCAAGACAAGGCCAAGCTGCAGGGCAGTGCCGAAACCCTGAAGCGAGAGCTGGACCAGAAGATAGCTGAGAACCAGGATCTCGTCCGATATAAAGCTGAGCTTTCCAAAATCTTAAAAGAGACCCAGAGTGCCAAAACCGTGTTGGAAAACGAATACTCTGCCTTGCTTCACGCCAAGCAGCTCCTAGCCGCTTCCTTTAAAAGCAGCTCTTCAGAGAAGGAGGTCCTGACTAAAGAGAAGGCCCAGTTGCAAGAAGAATGCCAGAAGTTGGCCAAGGAGCTCAAAACCATCTACAATAACCTGACGATCGAGCGGGAAGGTCGTACGTTGGAGAAGGAGTCCTTTCTGGTGGAGAACACCCAACTCCATAACGCCATAAGTCTCTTGGAGACGGAGCAGGAACAGCTGAGGCTAAAGAACAAGGAGTTATTGGTAGAACGGGACCAGCTGAAGCGGGAGAAGTTGAAGAGCGAGTCCAGGTTGGAAGAAATCATGAAGGAGAAAGAGGTCCTCGGTGCCGAGACGGACCAGCTGGCCTCCAACATTGAGAAGCTGAAGAAGGAGTTTGCATCTCTGACCAAGTCGAAAGCGGAGCTGCAGGAGCTTCACAGCAGCGTCTCCAAGATCCTGGAAGAGCTGCGTTCCAGCCACCAAGCCAGCGAACTGGAACGAGCGAAGCTGCTTCAAGAGAACGAGATGTTGCTTCTGGAGCAGAAACATCTCACCACCATCAAGGAGGAGATCCTGAAGGAGAAGGAGGCGTTCTCCAAGGACTACTACAAGCTGCACGAGGAGATCACCCTTCTAGCCCAGGCCAACAGTGAGATGTCCGGCAACCTTCTGGTGGCTCAGAACAAATGCCAGGCGCTTCAGAAGGAGAGGGACGAGCTCGTGGTCAAACTGGAAGACATTGAAGGTCTCCAGGCTCAGGCGGTAATGCAAAGATTTGAGGTATCGAAACTGCTAAATCAGCCCAGTTACGCTCACTAACACCCACCACTAACGGTTCCCGTGTCTGCACTTAATGTTGCACGTTTGAGCACCCTTGGAGCACCCTTCGTAATTCTCTTGCAAGTAGCCAATTTAGCGGATTGGTGGGGGTGAGGGACAAACCCCGCTCTTCAGCAGCTGGAATGGTGTGACGGAGGAGTTTTTAGGGCCTCACCACGGCTGAATATTCCAATCAGCTCTTCCGTTGTGAATAAAAAGGCGCCTAGGCCTGATGAATGGGATGCGATCCCCACTTGAATTGGACGTGGTCTTGTTTTAAATTGGTGTCTCAAGGGTGACGCCTCCCTCTCACCCTTGTCCCAGAATGAGATCAAAATTCCAAGCGGACTGATTTTTAAGCAGAATAACTTGCAAAAAGGACGTTGCAAAGCTGGTTACCTTTTTATTCACAATCGTGTTTGTGTTTCACCACCAACAGAGGACAAATCTGAAGGCTGAATCGTTCCTATCTCCCGTTTCATTAAAACCTAAAGGTTTATTCCAACCGCTGTTCTGTCTTTAACTATCCCGATCTTAAAGCTTAGAAGGTATTATTGAAATGTTTCAATTATCTCTTCTTGTGCCCCAAATTTAGAGGCGTGGTTGTTACTGCTCTGGTTTTTAATATTCTTTTTTAAAAAAAAAAAAAAAGTAGAAATCTGTTGGTGATGAAGCTCTGTCCTGAATGGTTATGGGTAATTTAAAAAATAATAATAATTCATGAAGATAATTGAATTGGGAGCCACGATTTCACTTGGATAATACTAGCATGGGGTTGTCATTTAATTTCTGCATGGAACAGTAGATTTAATTGTGCTTCTGGCACGAGAATGCTGGAAGAAGAAGGATTGGTTTGACACTCCAGCAGCGGCTGGATTTTGGCCTTGACTTGCTGTTTACTCTAGAGAAATACTATTGACTAGAGCAGCGTTTCCCAACCTTGGCAACGTTAAGAAGCGCGGACTTCAACTCCCAGAATTCTCCAACCAGCTATGAACTCTGGGAGTTGAAGTCCACATTTCTTAAAAGTTCCCAGAGTTGAAAAACGCTGTGATAGGTAGGCAGTCAGAGGCGGGCAACCTGGACACCTGCAGAGAGCTCGGATTATAACTCCCATCATCCTGAACCACCATCACAGTGGCTCAGTTTACGGAAGAGAGAGCTCCGTAGGACACCAGGTTGTCCCCCAATGGTAAACCTGCCGCCACCTTCAACATCTTTTGCTCAGGAACTTGACCTGGGTTGTTGTTCTTTTTAAAAAGATTTTAAAAGATTTGTTTGAAATCTTTCAGACTGCAAAAACAGCAGAAGATGCTTTGCAGATAGTGGAACAAGTGACCAAAGAGAAAGACGCCCTTCATAAAGAGAAGACGGAAATCTTGGCCTCCTTAAAAGATGCCAAGCAGCTCAGTCAAAAGCTGAAAAAAGAGGTAAATAAAAATGAAATCTCTGCCAAAACTTCCTTCCTCCGGTTAGGTCCACAGCAGAGGTGGTATTCAACTGGTTTGTACCGTTTCCAGAGTAGCGGTGATGAGGTGTGGGTCACGGAACCGGTGGTAACTTCTGTCTGGCCACGCCACCAAACCGCTTCCTATGTGGCACGTTGGGCCCTCGTGGCTTGCCTAGCCTGACTCCCCCACGTGCCTGCGCCCCAACTGAGCACCCCTGATCCGCCTGCCCTGCTCACATCTGGATTTTGGATCGTGCGACCTTGGGGCCGAGGCTTACACACAATGTAAGTGTGAAAAACAGTCCTGAGTCCCTTTTTTCCAGTGCCGTTGTGACTTTGAGCTCTCTTTAATCAACTGAGACCCGGTGAGGACCTGCTGATCCAAAGCCAAGGCTTCATGAGCAGAGATCTCGTGCCCAACCGTTAACAGGGAGATCCCCACAGATTTTTAATCAAGCGATCTCCTCTTTTACTCTCCGTTTTTCCATTGAGAAATTGGAAAGTGAAAGAAGAGTTGTGTGTATTGACGGAATCCACTCCGTGTCTTCCAGGCAGATGGCTAAATCCACCCACCAGTTCTAATTCTTCCAGAGTAGCCAGAGATTTATCTATTATGAAATAAAATATATTCTCCCCCACATCCCCAATGCTTATGGACAGAGAAGACTTAGAGGCTGATGAGAAGACAAAGGGGTCAAAATGAAAACGTGGCGACGCCAAACCTTGCAGGTGATCCGAACTGTGGCAGAACCAGCGCACACACACACACACACACATATCCTGGTCCCAAAGAGACAATATTTTCAGAATTAGCTCCTTCCCCGCTAAATGAGCTGTCCTACACCCTCAGGCAGTGCTCACGCCTGACGCAGCTGCTTCAAGAGAAATGAAAAAAAGGGTCAAGATCAGAGTGGGTCACCGTTTCTTCCCTCCTGGGACCCCCTGAATTGAATTTTTATTTTATTTTTTATTTTCCCTCCCCTCTCAAGCTGGACACTCTTAAAGAAAGCCACGTGAAGAACCGAGAGGAGCTCAGCAAATCTCAGGAACGTCTGAACAACGAGAGCCAAAAAGTGGAAGAACTCCGAAAAGAATTGTGAGTTTTGTTCTACTTGCGGGTGGGGAAGGGAAGAGGTTTACTGGAAGGATGGGAAGGAGAGGAAACGCAGAGAAAAAGCCAGCATGCCTAAACAAAAATAGCCAGGATTTGCAGCTGTTTCTGGGTAAAAGAACAAGAGACAAAAACCGGGTTGCGTTTTTAAACAGGCGAAGCTGCTCAGAGATTGCTATTTTGGTCCCAGTTGGCTAAAGAGGGCACATTTCCCCTGAGTATTCCCTGGTGTATTTTCTCCAGAAAATGTCCAGGAAATGCCATACATACTTCTGTTATTATTATTATTGTTATTATCATTAATGGTAGATGTTGTGCAAGAAGTCCTCTGGAACAGGACTTTCCATATTACACAGAATAAACCAACTTCATTGTGCGTTCATTTTACAGGTGCAATCATAGGAGAAAGGGGTTGTTTGATGCTTATTCTGAGATTGCTATTATGGGTTGTTTTATCTCTTGATCCGTCGGACTGGAAAACCCATGCTTTTCGGAGTGTGTCATGAGATTGTACTTGAAACCTAAGTCTTTTACAGCGCAGTGCAACTAGTCCTAATTGAAACCAGAACTTCTTTTCTTAGCTGAGACAGTTATAAGAGTTGACAATTTTTTTTGCCGTGGTGGTGGAGTGAATCGGTCCGGCCGTTAAGCGAGCCACACGGTCATTAAGTGGCTCCTTCCTTGGATTTTCCTTGCTGGGAGCCAGCTGGGAAGGTTGCACATGACCTTGTAAATGCACACCAGTTTCCAAAATTCCCCCGAATTTTGATAGCATGGCCAATGTCTTTAAATGTGAGAATTGGTCAGAAGCCACTTTTTCAGTGGCTGTTTTAACTTTGAACTGTCACTAAATGATTGCTTGTAAATCGAGGAGTAGAATTGCAGCCTTTTTCTTAATGAACTGTGACTCCGAGACTCCTTTTATGTTTTACACCAAAGAAAATACGATTTTAGTGTTTTCAGGGATGTGTGAGCAGCCTGTGCAAAAAAAGAGACACCCACTCCCACTATTATTATTTTTCTACAAACATAACGCTCTGCCGCTTGAAAAATCTCCTCAAATCTCTTCTAAAAATAGATAGCTTGACGATGCACGCAGGCAGCTCGCGCAACAGCAGCCTGCGAAGCAGATGGTAATCCCCGTTGCCTCCTTTGATTAGGTTTTAGCCCAGGCTTTTCAAATCAAACTGTTCCCGCACGCTCGCTCCAGCCAATCTGGATAGCACGGAATCTCATTTTGCAGCAGGATTAATTCACTTGCAAGGAATGTAGGACGCTGAGATGTGCCCGGCAGGACCCAGGGAGACGCTGGACTCTAAAAATATCCAGGCGTTTCCAGGCGGGAGATGCTCAGGGACCCAACGTCCCCATTCACACAATCTGGGGACAAGCCAGGGCTTCGAGAGGCGTGCGTTTGTCTCCCGCAAGAGGAAGGCGCTCTCTCCCAAGCGCAAGGGCCGCCGGGCTCAGCCGGAGCTCCGTGGTTGCATCCGTGAGCCTGTGCCAATGGGACGGGAGTGAATGGAGCTTTTATTGAGCCAGCCCAGCCTGCCTGCTTGGCAGGATTGATGGCTGCCAGCCAAGACTCCGGGCACCGCCGGATTGCCTCCGAATCCAGCATCGCAGGGAGCTTCCTCGCCATCCGATAACGGAGGCTTGGCAAGAGCCCGTGGGATTAACTAGGACGGCTGTTGGGTGCTCGGTTTCCAAAGGGGACATAAACGAGCACGCCCTACCTTGGGTGACGGAGGAGACGGAGGCTGGGCGCTTGGGGTGCTGCTGCTTTATTGGCGGTCTCGACAAACCGTGACAAACCATGATGCAGTTTGCAAGTCGGTCTGTTCTCCCCCCCGCCTCCCCCCCCCCCGTCTCGCTCCCTTCCTTTCCATCCTCCTTGTTCCTATGGTAACCCTTGCTGCCTTTCCCCATCTCTCCCAGGGAAGTGCTCAGACTGGCCGAAGAGGAGAAATCGCAGCAGCTCGCCGTCTTCCAAGAAGAAAACCTCAAACTTGCGAAAGAGTTGGGGAAAGGGGATCCCGCCAGTCACCAGAAGGTAGGTAGATGCTCCGGCCTCGGATTTGGGGGGTGGGTGGGAGAAGGAGGGTGGGGGGCGGGGTGCAGAGGGGTCCCTGGGATGCTGGACCCGTGGATGTGGAAGAGAGGAGGAGAAGGAGGGCAGGGCTGCCAGAGGGGCATGAGGGAAGGTGCCAATCCCAGGGGAGAAGCCGCCTTGTTAGGAGTTATAAGAGAAGGCAACGAGGAATCTCGCGCTCGTCTTAGGGAGGCGTGAAGTTTTTAGGGAGGTGGCTGCTTTCACCGGCGAGGGGAAGTTGATTTCGGCTGTGCAAAGCGAGTCCTTTGCAAGGATTCCACCTTGACCCGAAACTGGGGTGGAGTGGGGGAGGAATGGCAGGACCCCCCTGCCTGTACCTCCCAAATCCCTGAGGACGTTAGCATCCAGAACTCCCAGGTGTTCAGTGGAAGGTGTGTTTTCTGGAGCAAACCAGGCTCATTTTCAAGGGTACATCCAGAGTCCCCCTAAATTTGCACTGGGAGGAAATGGATTTTTAGGAAGATCATGTTGAAAAAGTATGTGCGTGGAAGTCCCTTCAACTGTGCTCGCTCTCGCTTTAGGGGCACTTAAGGAGAGTTTATTAACCTCTTCCCCTTGAAGATGTACGGACTTCAACTCCCAGAATTCCCCAGCCAGCAGTTTAACTGGAACTTAGTGTGTGGTTCCTGATTCTTTATGCTTGACAAGGGGGTTATTTTAGATTCTGGCCATATTCTTGGTCGAATAGGATAGAGGTTTCAGATCTTTTAATTATTCATTATCCTTTCTTTTGGCCTTTTAACATGAGCAGTAGATGTCTTTTAGGGGCTTAAGGTTTGAAAATGCTCCCTCGCAAGAAGAGGATGGGAGAAATAAGATTTAAAAAGGATCTTCTAATGCTACTTTTTAATAATAATAAGCTGTATGAGGATTAAGGCAGTACTGTTCCCTTTGGGGTGGGGGTATTTGTGTGTTATGTTGTTATTGCTGTGGTTGGGTTTATTAATCAGGGCTGCCAGGTATTATTTCTTTGCTTTTAACTCTATTTTTGGATCTTTAACCTGCTGGAGTCTTTGAAGTGGGTGGCATTGTAAATACGAAATTAATAATGAATGAAATTATAAGAAGGCAGAGCTGGTTACATAACTACATTGCTAAAAGCCTTAGAAGTGGCTAAATAAAATACTCCCCCCCCAAAAAAAGATGTGGAATAGATTCAAGACCCCAAGAAATTAAAAAAAAGGAGGGGTATATGGTCTGAAAGAGAGACCTTCATAGACAAAAACCCTCTTTTTTTTTCTTCCTTTCTCTTCTGGTTTTCCAGCTGGAAGAAGAGAGATCGGTCCTGAATAACCAGCTGTTGGAGATGAAAAAGAGGTGAGTTGATTTGCACAATCTCTCGGGCGTGTAGGCACTTAGAAAGGAAAAAGGAGAGAGAGAGAGAGAGAGAGAACCTTAATCTCAAATAGAATTCTTTGATCCCCGCTACTCTTCTGCGCTTAAAATAATCTTAGCGTTGCACCTTGACTGTTCAAAACATCATTGGCAGGTAGAACATTACGTTAAAAATACATCAAAGCATTACTGTGTCCTTCCCCCTCCCTAAAATCTGGGTGGTGGAAGCATTGATTCCTGGAAACTTTTACACAATTTAGCTCATCCTCAGAACTTGGTTGATCTCTTCACTTCGCTGCCTTTCCATGCCCGCTTAATTCAGAGCCATTTTTAGCCTCCCTGGGGGGATTTCCACGGATTTGTCTCAAAACCCCAAAGCCCCCTCTTCCTCCAGCTTCTAAATTCTTCATGGAGAGGTTTCCGCCCCACCCACCCAAAAATAATAATAATAATAATAATTTCTAAACTTAGAAGCCTGAAAAGGAAGCTCCCTTTGACGACCCCGGAGGACATTTTTAATTCAGGAAGGACTCTGATCCCCAATTATGCAGGGTTCCTTATTGCTGGTAGGACCAGGCGGCTGTGAGTTCTAGCTCTTTCTTAGACATGGTGCCGACTGGGTGGCCTTGGGCCCCTCCCTCTCTCTTAAGTCAACTTAGGGAGTGCTCAACTCAACTCAACATCAGTTGAAACATATATGTGAGATACCATATGCACAGTGGTGGTATTCTACTGGTTCTGGCGAACCGGTGGTAAAAAATTTGGCCAAACCGGTAGTAAAAAAAAAAAAACCAGCTATTTCTTTTCTTTTTTTCCCCTTTCCCGACAATCAGCTGTTCTGACAATCAGCTGTTCTGGGTTCCCCCTCCCTGTCTTACTGCTTTGCCCAGGAGGCAAAAAAAATAGAGGCGGGGTTGCAAAAGAAAAAAGAAAAAGCCACGCCCTCCCAGTCACATGGCCACGCCCACCTGGCCACGCCCACAGAACCGGTAGTAAAAACATTTGCATCCCACCCCTGCGTATGCAGACAGTCCTCAACTTACGAGAGTTCATTTAGTGAGTGTTTTGAAGTTACAAAGAAGAAGCCACTTTAAAAAAAAAAAAAATCACTCAGGACCGTTTTTTGAATGGGGCCAAAGTTCGCTTAACAACCGTCCCGCTGAGCAGCGGAAAGGTTGTGCTCCATTTTGGCCGTAACTCCAGGTCTTACCTGTATTGCGTTCTTTTTTTAAAAAAAACAAACAAACATCTTTATTCGGCCACGGATTATTTTATCCAGGAGGGAAAGGCTGATTGAAGCTGTTGAGCCTCAAATGTCCACCTCTGGGGATCCCCGGGGGGGGGGGGGGGTCTTGGTCCTGCTCGTGCACGGGGTTGGACTAGATGATCTCCAGGGTTCCCGCCCCACTTTTTGTTATTCTACGATTCTAAGCACGTGAGCTGGCCCTGGCAGGCAACAAGCAACTTCTGCAAGCGGGGGGGGGGGGGTCATGCTGCCCCCCCCCCCACCTCTTCCCCTGCTCTCTCCCTACCATAAGGCTCCTCCCCTTCTCCCCTCCCTCCCTTTCTCTCAGCCCCCGAGGTTGAAGCTTTGGAAGGTGGAGGTAAGAAACTGGGGGATTCAGTGTTATTTCGACTCCTTGTGGGTTTGCTGACTGTCAGACTTGGCTCTGCGCTGTTTTTTGAATCTCTTTCTTCCCTTCCTACCTTTCTGCTTCCTTGCTATATCTGTGTGTCTTTAATGGTAAGACTAAAGAAAGTCTATCCACGTTACAATAAATAACTTTTTTTATTTTTTATTTTCCTCCAATGAAATGGTTGTACATATATATATTATTATTTTTTGGCTGCTTTTTGTTACCTCCGTGTCTTGCTTTTGTTTTTTGTTTTTGTTCGTTAGTTTCTGGTTTTTGAATTTTATTTTTTATTTTTTTTTTGAGTTTTGGTTTTGTAAAATACTCGGCAGTGTTAAATCTTTATATATATATTTCTCTATATATATTTTAATAACAACAAGCAGAATCGACTTGGGTGCAAATTTAGTTCTTCCTTTACTTGTATCTCGCATTTCTCTGCCATGTTTCTAACATGTGGTTCTTGTTATCTTGCATTTTTAAAGCTTGCCCAGTATTACTTTAAGGTACTTGCTTCGTTATTGCAATTTCTTTTTAGTTCCTTTTTTGTGGCAAGGGAAAAATCTGGGTGGTGTTTCTTACTTAGCAGGAGATGTTTGGAATTAATGTTTTACGATCGTGCCCACTGATAATCTTCAGAAATGAAGCACACGCCAAATCCTTTGGGTGAAGTGAAATTTACTCCTTGTAGAAGACTTACTCAAGAGATGCTCCTGTTGGGCTGAGCCATGAGTGGCCTTTAGTTGGCCTTTAGAGTGGCCTTGACTTAACTCTCTAAAATTAATAGAGGTCCTTCTTTCCCAGAGTGGTTCAAAACTATTTTTAAGTGGGCTCTTCCCATCTGTGAAATTATGCCTCTTGAGTTTGAGAACACGGGGGTCCTCGACTTAATGACTGTTCTTTTAGTGACCGGCACTGGAAAAAATGACTTACAACTGCACACACAACCATGGGGGCCCTTGTTGCTGTCTGAACTGGGCACCTTCCTTGCAGGCTTTTCATGACTCAAGTTAGGTAACGTCATCAATGCAACAAAAATGATTGTAAAATAGGATGTGACCGCCACCCCTTAATAACTGCTTCGCTTACCGACGGAACTCCCAGTCCCAACAGCAGTCGTAAGTTCAGGACTAGCTGTAACTGGTCTTTTTTTTTTTTGTAAGAAGGTGGTGGGATCATCACCATCCTGTCTCCCCTGGTCCTCCACAGACCATTCTCATCCTGGACATTCATATTTCGAACTGTTACCATCAGGGAGGCGTTATAGGTGTCTTAAAATGAGGACTAATAGATTGAGAAACAGTTTCTTTTCCAGGGCAGTAATTGTCTTGAATCGAACAGCGCACTTGTGATTTAGCCCTATGTGGCATTTTAAACTATCTAACTTACTATATGTTTTAGATAGGTTTTAGGCTAGGGTTTTAATTATTATTATTTTAATTATTTTAATGTTTAAATACTCTGTAGTGTGATTGTGATGTGGTGTTTGGGACACTGAGCTGGAGTAGCTTTCAAATTTCATTGTATTTGTAGAATGCAATGACAATAAAGGTATTCTATTCTCTTTACTAGACTAGCCAAGCCTGGTTCCTGCAACCCTTCTTCATATGTTTTAGCCTCCAGTCCCCTCATCCTCCTGGTTGCTCTTCTCTGCACTTTTCCTAGAGCCTCAAACATCTTTTTATAGTGTGGGGACCAAAACTGGATGCAGGACTCTAGGTGTGGCCTTACTAAGGCTTTATCGAGTGGTGTTAGTACCTCCCTTGATCTGGATTGTATCCCTCGGTTGATGCAATTTAGGATTGCGTTGGCTTTTTTGGCTGCTGCCGCACACAACTGGCTCCTATTTAGCTGGTTGTCCACTAAGTTCACATTGCGCTCCTCAAACAATCCAGCCTGGTGGCCAAGTTTGCTTGCTTCCTTCCTTCCTTCCTTCCTTCCTTCCTTCCTTCCTTCCTTCCTTCCTTCCTTCCTTCCTTCCTTCCTTCCTTCCCCCCCCTCGTTCCTCCTTCACCTTCCCCCCCCCCCCCCCAAAAAAATCCCCCTTGGGCCCCCGGGCGCCCCCCTCCCCCCTTTTTTCCCCCCCCCCCCCCCGGGAGAAAACCACAGGGTAGGAGGCTCGCTGTGCTGGGAACAGTAACCTTCTATCTTGGCCTTACAAACGGGATCTCAGCCATCTGTGAGGCGGTGTGACTCTGTGTCAAGCACCTCAGATTTTCCCTTTTGCCGCTTCTGTGACCCCGAATGAACATCTGCCTTGCTTCTGAAAGGCCTTCTGTGATGCGCCTGCCATCATTGCTTGTTGTCTAGTTGTCTCGGGGGGTAGCAGCCGTCCCACCTCCCCTGCTGGTTGTTGGGATTCTTTTCAACTAGAACATCTCTTAAGAGTCTGTCGATTTTTTGCCTTGAATTGTTCTGACCCAGGCTTCCCGAGACCATAGTTAAGCACACCCTTAGTCCAAACAACTCTTGTTTTATTTCAATGCTGGGAATTATTTTCATTCCCAGCTGGTCATGAGTCCCAAACAGTTGCTCGAGATAAGCACCCACCTTTCTCTCCTTTGAATCCAACAACTAAAGTGCCAAGTGAACTGTAAAAAGCCAACCACAGTAGAAAGTCCGCACAGAGCTTCAAGGTTTAATCCGAACAGAATGAACGACTTTGCTTCCTGCAAAGGCTTCTTCACCTTTGTCTGACTTTTATCCCTTATGGGAGGGGCAGTCAGCTCCCAGCCTTACTCACCCCCCCCTCTCTCCTCCCCTCCCCCCTTTCTCTTCTCTCTCTCCTCCCCTCCCTTCTCTCTCTCTCCCCCCTCTTCATTTATACCGTTTATTAGATTTTGATTTGCTTACCGAACAGCGGTTCCTTTCTGCTCAGGATTGATTCCCGCTCTCAGGGATCGTAAAGCCATTCCGGTGATACCTTCTGAGAAAGTCTGGTGGAAAGGTTCGATCGGACAGTGTTTCTCAACTTCAACCCCTTGAAGATGGGTGGACTTCAGCTCCCAGAATTCCCAACGCCGGCTGGGGGATCCTGGGGCTTGAAGTCCCACCCCTCTTCAAGACGCTGAGATGAAGAAACACACCGAAGTGGGAATTCCCACCACGCTTTCCTACAGTTCCTTGGTGAAAAAAAATCTCAGTTCAATCCGCCTGTCAGTTCTTCAAGTTTTGCCTAATGAAGTTGAACCCGCCTTGATGGGTTTTTTTTGCAGACGTTTCATGACCCAACTAGGTAACATCATCAGGAACATGGAGGTCATTAGATAGACATAATAGGTAACAACATCAGCACTGAACAGGTCATGAAATGTCTGCAAGAAAACCACCCAGCTCAGCACCAAGGACCTCCCCATCCTCTTCCTCCCCCTCCCCTTCTCCTTCCTCCAATCCGCAAACCCTTCTCCCCTACAGCACTGATGATATTACCTAGCCAGGTCATGAGACGTCTGCAAGAAAACAGAGAGCCCCAGGAACTCCACAGTTCAATCCTGAACCTCATTTTCTTCTATCGGCGTTGACTTTTCTTTTAAAAATCGATTGTAATTTTAAACCTCAGCTGAGGCTCCAGAATGGCCCCCCAAACTGGAAGCTTTAAATAAACAGGATTTAGGGAGGACCAGCTGATAATTCCAGCACAATCCCTGCTTTGCACGACAACTGTTTTGTGTGTGTGCGTGCGTGTGTTTGAGCTTTGCATGCATTTTCGTGGCCTGTTCAGTACCGTTCTGAGGAATAACCGATGTAAGGCTCGCCATCTGCAACCCTCTTTCCCTCCCTTTTCAGTTCTTTATCTCCCAGTCCTATTAACATCTTTCTTTTTTAAAAAAAAAACTTTTTAAAAAAAAACCAGAAATGGATACGGTGATATGCAGATTCTGGCATGAATCTCCCTAGGTAAAACCTTTTCACTTTGTTTTCCTGTTGCAAAGTTTTCCCCCATCACTAACGCCAGCTGTAAAAACTTCGCTCAGTTAAAGGACAATTTAAATTCCAGAAAAGCCCCGACGCTGCTAATCCCTTCTTTTTTTTTTTCTTTCTTTCTTTTTGGGGTGGGTGGGGTGGGGACGGGGGGGACGTGATTTTTAAAAAGGTTAATGCAACAACTCTTCTGAAATCGTTCGACCCTCTCTTTTAGAGAAGCCAAGTTAATAAAAGAAAACGATGAAGAGAGAGCCTCGTTGCAGAAATCCATCAGTGTTACTAGTGCCTTGATTACAGAGAGAGACGAAGAGCTGGAAAAACTCAGAAATGAGGTACAAACACGTAGAAGTGTGTGAACTGTAGCATCCCCTCATATCTGGGTGGCCCACAAAACACAACTCCTTCCTTCCTTCCTCCCTCCCTCCTTCCTTCATTTCTCCTTCCCTCCCTCCCTCTCTTCCTTCTCCCTCCTTCCTCCCACCGTCCCTTCATTCTCCTTCCTTCTTCGCTCCCTCCCTTCTTCCTTCTTCTCTCAATCCCTTCTCCTTCCTCCCTTCTCCCTCCTTCCTTCAGCGTTTCCTCCCTCTCTCCCTCCCTCCCTTCATTCTCCTTCCTTCCCTCCTTCCTTCCCCGCTTC